GAGACCCTTACCCACATCCTTCTTTCATAGATGTGACTATGCCCATTTCCATGTCCTGTACTCAGAAAGGCCTGCTTACACCCCTATCTAAAGCAGCTCCCCCTGTCGCCCCCACTTACAGACCCTGTGCATTTTCACCATGGCACTAGCACAATTATGTATTTATACGTTTTTAGTTACTTTATGATCTGTCTCCACTTTAAGTATTATGAACCATTGTTTTGGTTGTTTTTTCTCTTATTTTCATTGATTTGTTTTTACCACAGTATATCCCGAGGCTTCCAGACAGCCTAAACATAGTAGATGATCAATAAATATATATTGAGTAAACAAATAACAGACACAACCATAGATATTCACTGGGTTTTACTGCCTGCAGAATATAAGTTTGAATTCCTTAATTTGGCATTCAAAGCCTTCAGCCGTCTTCAGTCTACTACTGCAGCCTCACCTTTCACTCTGTACTGCAGTTACTTAGGCTTTGGGCTCTTCTCTGTCCTATTTGTGGGCCAGGATCACATGCCCTGGCTGCACTCTGTGCTTCCACTGATGCTCATCTCTCTTCCTCCCACTTTTGATTCACCTTTGTCCTTCAAATCTTTGTTAAACGCTCATTTTCATGAAGCCTTTCAAAATTCCTCCATTTGGAATTAAATCTCCTTACACATGTCCAAAGAATTTAGTATTTGAATTTATGGCCACACTCCAGAAAGGAAAAAACATATGCATGGGGTCAAAAGACACTCAGGTTCATGTGCTCCATCACTTTCAGGCCATGGGACTCCAAGTCAATTATGCAAACTCCTTTTTTCAGTTTCTGCTTCTGTAAAATATGTGTGGAATGGTGCTTTGACCTTGCAGGCTTGTGGTGGGAATAGGTGGTGGTAACTGCACCACGTGGGGCACAGGGCAAGCTCTCAGAAGAACAGCAGCTGCTTTAGTGAAGGCGACAGTGCAGCGGACAGGGGATGTAGTTAGTTGGGACATGGCTGTTTCCTCCTCTAGGCTGTGAACTGTATTTATCTAACTCCTCTTTATCTAACCTCAGTCCCTGTCACTCTTCATGGCAGTATACACACAGAAGGAGCCTAACAAATGTTGGAATGGGCAGTAAACGTCCAAACCCTCATTGCCTGTTGAAGGGTCCCATGAAGTACTAGAGCTACTGACACCCATCCTTTAGTTCTGAACAGCTCTGGGTAGAAGCCACCAAATGAGTCTGAGTTTCAGACAACTCCAGCCAAGGCCACTGCTACTCTGATGTGAGGGTCCTGACCCCACATGCCATCTGTTCCTGCCCTCCACGAGAAACAGACCAGTGAGTGACATAAGAATCAGAAGAGGGTGACATTTTCAATTTACTGGCCATTCTGAGATTTTTGTTGGTAATAAAGAGATGGGAGTTTTCATCCCAAATTTTCTCCCTTAATTCCAAAATATACTTGAAATGGTTCCAGCCAAGAGAGTTATTGCCTTCTCCTTGCCTGGATCTTAAATCTGTGTTCCAAGACAGCTTGTTTTAATTGAAAATATTCAATCAATCTCTCCTCTCCTCCCACCCAAATACCATTTCTTGACTCAAACAGGGCCACTGTAGTAAATAATCTGGCATGAGGCTCTCAGGGTTTGAGGAATACGTAATATGGCTGGAGAGGGAAAGCGAAAGAGTGTCATCCCAGGCAACTCCCACCTTTAAAACATTGTCTTTTAAACAGAGCTTGTCTAAAATGATCAACACCTCACAGGAGGACATTTTACTGGAACAGCTCAACTCCTTTCCCTTGTATAGCTCATAAGTGCTGATTAGTAAGGGTGTCTTCTAGGGTTGCCTCTGGGCTACCTGTTTGTGCAGGCTTCCTGCTCCCCCATCCATCCACTTCTTTGGCCAGCACCCATGTGTTCGTCATACACTTCATCACAACAGTCCTGTGAGGCAGGCAGCATTCTTCATATTTTGCAAAAAGGCAACCATAGCCAAGGGAGTCAGAATCACTTATGCAAGGTCACACAATATTCCAGTTTTTCCCTCTGCATAACAAATCTCCCCTAAACTTAGTATTTAAAACAATAGCTATTCGGCCATGTTTTCTGTGGGTCAGAAATTTGGGAAGGGCTCAGCTGAGTGGTTCTAACTGCACGAGCATTTGGTGCATTTGACCTTAGCCTCTTCATGGAGTCTCCTGCAGCCCCTCCAGGGGCTCGTTGGGCTTCTTCAGAGCAGGTGGCCTCAGGGCTGTCAGACTGTGTGCTGGAGGCTCAGGCCCCAGATGGAGCATTCCAGCAAGCAGGTGCAAGTTACATCACCTTCTCTGACATTACCTCAGAAGTCCCACAGTGTCACTTCTGCCATTTTTTTTTTAATTTGGTAAAAAGTGAGTCACAAACCCAACCACATTCAAAGAGAGGGGATATAGACCACGCCTCCCAGTGGAAGAAGTGTCAAGGTCATATCATAGAATGACATGTGAGATGGTAAATATTGCAGACATCTTTGGAAAATACAAGCTCCATCCATAGCATGTGGCAGAGCAAAGGCTTGGATTAGATACATCTGATTCCAACACTTATGCTCCGGCATTTCAGCCCAGCCCCAAGGACCTCCCCTTTCCTCTGGGACCTGTAGCTCTCCATGTGAGCACACGCAATGACCTGAGCCTGGCTAGGTCAAAGCAGCCAGGTGCCTCTGCCTGCCCTGGGAGTGAGAACGCCTCCAGGGTCTGCTGGTTAGCAAGGCCATGCCCAGCGCCAGCTTGTGAACTTTTTAAAGAGGGTGACAGAGAAGGTCAGTCACATCCCCAGAAAGTAAGCAGGTGGCAGCCCCAGAGCACAGTAAGCCTGTGGTGCATCTTACTGTCTTATACAACTCATCTGGTTTTTCTCCTTCTCCCATCAGGCACTGACCTGGGATGACTCGGTCCTTGACAGGAAAGGTGCCTTCAAGTTGGGAAATGGCCCAGGATGGTGGAAAGCTCATGATTCTGGAGTCAGACATTCCCGAATTGGAGGCCTGACTGTACCATTGCCAGTTATGTAGACTTGGACAAGTTTGTTAAACTCCCAGAGCAAAAGGGAGATAAAAATGCCTTCCTCACTGGGCTGTTTAAAGTGCATATGTAAGCCAAGTACCAGTGAAGAGCCAGGCATACAGAAGGTGCTCCATAAATGATAGTTTTCATGTTCTGGGCCATGTCTAACCCCAGCTTGGGGACAGCTTGTGGAAGAAAGTGGCAAGAACTCAGCTGACTGTTCTTCAAACGCTAGTCCAGTTCCATGACTCTGGATGGAGTGGTGCTGAGACTTGTCAAGTGAAGTTACAATTAAACTGAGGTGTGTGGAGGCTCAGAAAGAGTTGGCCCTGTGAGGCCTGTGGAGGGAGGGAGAGTGGTCCAGGCAGGTGGCATGGTGTGAGCAAAGCCCTGGAGGCAAACAACGTTCAGTATCACTGGAGTGTGAAGGGCAAGGGGAGTAGACAGTAGGCGGCACAGAGCACAAAGCTGAGAAGATAATCTGAGACCCAACCACGAAGGACCTTGTAAATCAAGTTCCAAAAGTTGAACTTTAAAAGCAACTGGAAGCCACTGAAGAAGGGTTTTATTCAGTTGGGTGATGTGGCCAGATCTGCATTTTAAAACAACCCTCCTGGCTATGTTGTAGAAAATGATATAGAGACAGGAAATCCTGTGGCAGGGAAGCCCATTGGGTCAGGATTAGAATAATCCAGGGGGAAGATGGTGCTGGCCTTTTCTAGGGGACAACAGGGTGGTACTGGAGAAAAGTGAACAAACTCATGAGATAGAAGGTCCAATGAATAAAAGTTGGTGACAGTTCAAATGTCCCAAGCTGAGGGATATGAGATAAGAGATAAGTGTTTTGAATGAAGTCAGTTCAGAAGCCATGGCAGTATGGGGCAAGGGCATCAAACACAGCCCCAGGGAGAGGAGTGTCATGGAAGGCTTTAGTAAAGAGGTATCACCTAACTGGAGAATTGATAAATAAAAATTAGCCAAGGGAAAGTGGGGAAGTATTTCAGGAAGAGGAAACAGCTTTTTGTGAGGCCCAGAATGTGAGAGATAATGCACAGAGCAGGTACTCTGTGTTACTAAGATGATTGTTGTACTAATTCATACTAAAGTATTAATGGTCAATATGAAATTGGTCCTTTCCCCTTCCCAGGGAGTTTGTACTTTAACAGGTCATGTATCCTTACCCTAAGGATTCACTTTTGGTTGATTTCAGGGTGGAGTGAACATACTGTTCAGGGTAAGAGGTTTTACCACTGTCCCCAAGGTTACCAAAGTGGATGACTGATCCCTTAGGGTCTCATAGTTCCTGGTCTATATACAACAAAAGTCTCTTGCCCTTGGTAAGGGTGGGGAAAAAGAAAGGGAGCATTATGATTAGCATGTATAATGTAGGGGGGGCATGGGGAGGGCTGTGCAACACAGTGAAGACAAGTAGTGATTCTACAGCATCTTACTATGCTGATGGACAGTGACTGTGAAGGGGTATGTGGGGGGGACTTGGTGAAGGGGGGAGCCTAGTAAACATAATGTTCTTCATGTAATTGTAGATTAATGATAACAACAACAACAAAAAAGTCTCCTCCCCTTGGGTCTTGCTTATCTGCCTTCATCATGAGCCCCTGAAGCGAGACCATGGGAGCCCAGTGATCCCCAAAGTTGTGCAGTATACTGTAAAAGTTACGAACACAGGTTTTGGGGTAAGACTACCTATCTTCTTCCCTTCCCAGTTCTGTGACCTTGGGAAAATGATTTAACTTCTCTGCCCCCCCTCAGTTTCCTCATCTGTAAAGTGAGGAAAATAACAGTATCTGACATTTATGGTTTTGTGAAAATTAAAAAACAAAACAGGACATACAAAATCTTAGAACAGTTCGTGACACTACTGCTTTTATTACTGTTCTCATTTTTATTACTAGTCCTCTTTTCACTTTGTCTCAATCTCTTTTCAAAGTTGCTCCTTAACACACACCCTTGCAGATATGAAGCTGGGAAGGAACGTAGCAAGAACGTTTTTGGATTATTATCGGCTGAACCCCCTGGTTGAGAAAATGGCAGTACCCACACTGAGGCTGCGGTAAGTGGCTGCGCAGAGCAGTGTGGGCTTGAGTCCTTCTCAGCTGGTTCACGTTCAGGTGCAACTTCCCTTAGCCTCTCTCTGGCCCTCATTTTGTTCTCTGTGGCATGGGAAAGATAACCCAGCCCTGCCACATAGTGTATGGGGCAGAAGAGCTTAAGAGAATATTTCCTAGTATAAAGTATCATTCTAGGGTCAGACATTGAAGGGGTGGTCACATTTCTGGGTCTAACATGGGAATTCCCAGGGATGGGAGTTGCAGGGAGCTGAGTCCAGTCATTAGTCTCAGTCTGGGTATATGCTTGCATATGCTACTTCATATGATATCTCATCTTCTAGGATTCCTGTATCAATAGGCTCATAAGGTCTCTGATCCTTCTATTTCCTCATTTGTAAATGGGAAAAGTGGCACTCCCTTAGAAGATTATTATGAGATGTGTGTTAAAGCACCCAGCACTGTGCAGGCATAGATCTACATATACATATATCTCCGTAGTATGTGATAGCCTCCTCCCCACAAGAACCAGAGGTTCAGGGCTGGGGAGAGCACACCCCTTGAGAAGTTGCACCTCAGGTCCTCTGGAGGTCATCTGCCTGGGCCAGTGAGGAGAGAAGATCAGGAGATGAGTAACCCTCCAGAGGCCTGCACCACAGCCCAAAGCACTGGGTGTTGCTATGCCTGCTGGGGGTGATCCCAGTGAGCATTTGGACAGTGCATCTGGAATGTGCTGTCCCTGTCCTACCTCTTGGCCTCATTTCCCTCTCCCCTTGAGATCCAGCCTCCTTGAAGGACATGAGAATGTTAAATTTACTGTTCCTGATAAGCCTGTAATCCCACTGACTTTGCCCATGACCTTGCCTATATGCTTTGCTCCCTCAGGGCCTTTGCACTGATGCACCTTCCTCCCTAACCTGTTACCAACAACAACAATATTAATCACTGTTTTTAGTGCAAAGTTCTTTTTGTGCATGATCTTGTTTATTCCTCGTAATATTATATTCTCTGTGTTACAGATGAGGAAAAGGAAGCTCTGAAAGGTAAAGGGAATTGCCCGAGCCCAAAGACATTTTGGCAGAGGGAGGATCTGATCCCAAACTTTCATGATTCCAAAACTAGACTGAAGCCTAGTTAAGCTCTACGGCAAGTTGGAAACCTTTTTCGCTATCAGTGTGGGTTTCTCAGGCTCATGCTATCTGTGGGATATTAAGCAAGTTTCTTGGCCTCTTGAAACCTTTCTCTACCTGCCTATAAAGTGGGAGTAATAACAGCAACCTCTAAAGATGGTTTTAAAGATTAAATAGAAGCTTGGTACCGTGCCTGTTAGCCAGTGGGTGCTCAATAAATGTTTCCATCTCCTCTGGTTTCTGTATCGCAGTCCCAGATTTCCAACCAGCTCATCCTGGCCTAGGGCAAGTCCCTGGACCTCTCTGGTTGGACTGGATGACCTGGCAGGGCCCATGTCCCACCATATGAGGTCACATCCCTGAGCTCCAGCTCCACGCAGAGTCTGCATGACAATGTGCTCTGGATCAGAGTCTGTCTTAGATTGTTCACCAGTCACCTGGGGTCTTTGTGCCCCCCATCCTAGTAGATTAGCAACTCCTTGAGAAGGATCATGTCTCTTTCTTCTCTGGGCTCCCACAGTGCCTAAAAGTATTGAGCAGGCATATATACAAACCCTCATTCATTCACTCACTTAGAAAAAAACAATACTTTATGCCAAGCCCCTGGGGGAAGGGAGATGCTTGAATAAGTAAATGATCAAGGCCTGACCCTCACTTTGAGGAGCTGTGCTCCAGAGAAAAGTGCTCATTTCATTCTTAGAAATCATTCTTGATTGGTTAAAGATCTTAAAAATTTAAAGCTTAATAAAACCCGAAAGAATCTTAGAACCTCATTTACAAGTTAATTTGGGGATTGTCTCTTTCAAGTCATCTGTCAGCGTGAATAAAATTATCCTGATTCTTTACTACTCTTTCCTGTATGTGGCCCTGTCAAGGAAATGGTGCTGGCAGTCAGGAAGACATAGCAATCATCTAGGCCCCTCTTCACAGTACAGATGAGGAAGTCGAAGCCCAGGGAGCAGATAGGATTGGTTACCAGGAACTAAAGCCCAGGCCCCAGGGTCTCCAGCCTGGTGCTCTCAACATCAGTTAGTGAGGAGTTCTTCAAGATGCAGGGGTGGGGAAGGGGTGGGGGCAGGACCCTGAAACTGGGTCTGAAGAATGCAGGGAGCTCTCAGGTCTGTGATTTTAACTGTCCGTGGGACCTCATTGCCCTGAGCTTTCGAACCCTCTTGAGAAAAGAGATGGAGAGTTTATTCCTTAAAGTTCAGACCTTGAGGCAAATGTACCAACCTTTACATTAATAAAAACAAAATGAAGTCCCTCACCATTGCCATACCTCTGCCTTACCAAACTGTGGCTACTGCTTAACTCTCAACTGGTCAGCAACTCTTGAAAAATGATTTCCAGGAAGATACACAGCTCTGATTTGGGACTTGAATACTTTCCCTTTTTTGTATATTTTCTACCCAAGCATCAAATAACATAAGCAAAAGAGCAGTTCTGGTTTTACAGGAAAATCACGTTTGATTCAATATTAATCTTTGTTTTTCTCTCATCTCTATGGCTAATTATAATATGTTAGTTTCCACCCATGTGCTGGTGGGAACCTGTCAGAATCCCTGGGTGCCAGGCCACCCCTCAGAGACTCCCTGGGGAGGGCCAGCAACACGGGCCTGAGAGCACAGCCTCAGAGACCCTGTGTTGATGACCAAAGCCGAGACCCCATACTTACCTGGACAACAATGACAATCACAGGGCTAAAGCTTGAAATACACCATCAGGGTGGATAAAAATTAGACAGGAAAAATGAACAGGCCAGGTGAGCCTCTGTAGGGAGACAAAGCATGAACTTAAAGGGTGGTCTGGTAGCTAAGTGTGAGATGGGCTCAGGCTTGGCAACAGACCGGGAGGGCTGGCTTCATAGTGGGGTTTTGATGTATGCATGGGGTTGGGGAGGGATTCATCAGCTGTGCAACATACTGGAGTCTACCATGTGCAGGCCCTACACTGGTGCTGCGGGACCATGGATAGCCCCTCACCATCAGGGGCCCAGATTTACAGAGAAGAAAGGCATGTACTAATGCAAAGATAACAACACTGAACAATGTATAAAAGTGCTCAGCTATGTATGAAATTACACCCTCTCTCAATAACTTTCCATGGCTCCCCGTTATCATCAGGGTAATATTCCCATTCCTCTTCTTGCTATTCAAAGCCATGGCCTGCATTGCAAATTTCACTTACAGATTCCTAACATACCCCTTTCCCTTCTAAGCACCTTCTCCACCCCGCATGCTTCCTACCACTTTATGCCACATGCTTTAGCCCAAACAAGTCAGCTGCTTTCATGCTTCCATATCTTTGTTCATCCTTTACCCTCTCGCTGCAATGTTCTCCCTTTTTGTCTCCAAATGGTGAACTCCTACTTCCCTTTCAAACCCCAGTCCAAATATCATACCTGTTTCACTGTCCCTGTTCTCTACCTGAGATAGAGCTGCTTCCTCTCTGCTGGATTCCTGACAGCAGTGTGCACAGCCCGGTAGCATGGTGCCCCCTGGAATGTATTGTCATGGCATCTTTGCATGTCTGGCTTCTCCACTAGAGAGGTTGCCTCTTGAGGAACTATTGTAGTCATTTCTGTACCCTTAGTGCACAGTGCAAGGCCTAGAATGGAGTAAATCCTAAATAAGCCCTGAATATCTGAATTCTAAAACAGTAGAACTGAAGAAGCCTCAAAGAATCATCTACGTCAACTGCTTCCTGTTACAGGAAAGCTAAGTGAGACCCAGCCAGATACAACCCTCCTGCACCATCTGGCAAGCATTTGGCAGCTGTCAGGAGTAACCCAACAAGGCTTCGGGGAGGAAGCAGGGTTTGAGCTTTGTTTTAAAGAACATGTAGAATTTAAATGGGTGAAATAGAAAGGAACGGGGGTGGGGGAAGGTATTCCATGTTGGGGAAAGGCTATGGAAGGCAGGAAGCAGGAGCTGAAAAAGACACATTCCAAGGCAATGACAAGGCTGGATGTTTAGAGCAATCTTTGGCAAAGGGAAGATTGAAAGTTCATTTCTATTCATCAGACACACCTGGAGCAGCTACTCCATACCAGGCTGAGTTTGCTCAGGAACTAGAGAAAATCAAATGCATCAAACTCAGTGTCGTGAGCAAAACAGGTGGGCAAAGAACTACCTAGAAAATAATGTGCTGAGGGGTAAGTCACAGAGTGCTGCAGAAGCCTTGAGAAGGGAGAGGCCTGCTTGCTGGGAAGTTTTCGTCCTCAAAGAGGTCACACCTCTCACACATGGCTGACCTGGGAATTCAGTTGAGTTCTTTCTGGTTCTAACACCCGCTCTTTCTATTGCAAATAAATCCTAATCCAGTGCACAAATGATGGCACATCAAATACCAGTCAAAAACATAACAAACAAGGCCCTATATGAGAGAAAATGCAAAAATGGATGAAACTTGTTCCCTGCCCAAAGCTGCTCATAGGCTAAATGTGTGAGGAAAACAGACAGTGGCTGATTACTGAGGCATACTGTTAAGGGTATTTCATTAATGTTGGGTGCCGGGACACAGAGATGAACCAGACCCATCTCTGCCTTCCAAGAGCCCCCAGGCCAGTGGGATGACAGACTGGTCATGAAATACCATGATTAGACTACACAGAGGAGTAAAACCTTTACTCTGAGAGGAGTACTTGACCCTATGAAGGTCCAGACTCTCCCAAGCTATAGCTTTTCTACGTGCCCTTTCCTATGCCATTGTGAAGTGGATAGAATGAGTAGAATCAAGAAGGAAATGTGGAAGAGTTGAAGCTGTAGGACAGTTAGGTTTCCTCCAGAACCAGAACGATACAAAGTACCCGTCTATCCATCTAATGGCCATTCATTGAGCCATGGTTCCTTCTTTTAACCAGGCCCTGGGCTGGGTTCCTGGGACACAGAGAAGAGGAAGACAAGACCACTGCTCGTAGGAGGTTGCAGCCCAGGGGAGGAAATAGACATGCACACAAAAGATTTCAATACAGTGTGTATATGTGCTGTCTCTCTTTCTGTTATCTACTCTTTGCAGGAAAGAAAAACCCCCTCCTTACAAGTACCCACTCCTGCGGGGCCCAGCCAGCAACTACCCCAACTGCAAAGGGGACAAGAAGAACTCAGTGAACCACAAAGACCCTTCAAACTCTTTTTAAGTAGGTGAGGTCCAGGGAGGTCTTGTGGACACAGGAGCATGCATTCTCTGCTGGGGCATGAAATTAATTACCCTTCTCTAGTTTCCAAGATAAGGGATGTGGGACAGTGAATAAGCGAGTGAAAGGGAAGAAAAAAATGAGAAATTTCATCATTGATTTTCCCTTTTGCCGATGGAAAATCAATTGTGAGCCTTCACCTCAAGGTTTAGGAATAAAATAGGAGACTCAAGCTGGGCGAGTAGAGTTGTTATTTTCCACAACATAGAGCTCTTCACAGGAAGAGGAAAACCTACACATCCCTTTTGAGAGGTTTGACAGGTCTCAGGTCAGTGCCTCCAAAGCCCCTTTACCTTTTAAAGTTGGATAATTACTACAGATGGTTACCTTTTAGAGTAGACTGTGGTTGTTTACAATTTTAGAAATGCAGTGTCCATGTTTGCTGATCCAGAACAACATCAAGAACACATATAACCCAGAGACAAATGTACTGTTGGGAACAGTGGGACAGAATTTTTTGAAATCACAGTGGTCTTAAGACATATAGTCACTCTATCTATGAGCTGCATGCTTTCTGACTCCCCCAGTTCCCAGCATGCAGCTTCAGAAAACCATTCTGCATGCTGGGGAGTTTAATTGAAGCTTCAGCTCCAAAGGCAAGAAGTATTGGTCACTCATTCCAAAAGGTTTGTCCTAGTTAGGCTCTCCAGATCCCGGTGTCAGGGGTCAGATTAGGCTATGAGGTGGGCATGGATAATCTGCAGGGGGGGAAGGCTGACGGCTGGAAGGGGAGGTGCAGAAGACAGAAGGAGGCGCCCCGAGGCGGGGGGATGATAAAATAAAGCAATAGCAGCAGCGATTCCCAAGGTGGGGAAGTTAATATTGTGCATTCTTCTAAAGAGTAAAGTGCCTTTATATGATGAATGGATCCAGGGGAGTCTGTTCCCTTCCTGTCTGTGAAGCAGCAGGCTGAGTCACCATGACAGCCTGCTAATTAAAATGACCTCCCAGAAATGAGGATTATGAGATAGGGAGAGGAAGGGAGGCTCAGGGGAGATAGGGCCTTTAGCACAGAGCTCCAGTTAAGCATTCTTTTGCTTTGGGTTGGAGATGTTTGAAGTTTGTTACAGAAATCGAGAGCAAAGCTTACTCTTTTGCTTACTGGTTTTCAGAAATGATAACAAAGAACCATATGTTTGTTGGCTACAAATGTTATGTTGTATATACAGCTCCTCCTCTGGGATCTGTTGCCCAGAGGAACATAAATAAAGTGGTTTATGCAGCTCTTCTGTTCCTCTGAGTGTTCTTGGCACCTTTTCCTTTGGATCTCTCACTCTCTGTAGAATCAACCAGCCAACCCAAATTTGGTGCAACCCTCACTTTGCTGTCAGGGACTCTGTCATCAAGATAAGTCCTGACTTCCCAGCGGGTCCTGTGTCAGAGTCCTGGGGAACTTAGTTTACCACAACCAGCTCAACATGAGCCAGCAGTGGGGCAGACCTTTCAGAAATGATAGCATCTCTTGAGACAGCATACATAGAGGCAGTTAGCATAAAATAAGATGGATGATAGTCTAGATCCATTTTTCCTTGGTCAGACTGCTTCCATAATGTGACAATATTTGGGCCTCATTGTTTAAAAATGGAATCAGTTAATTGGATCCCAGGTGTCACAAGCAGCAGGGTATGCTAGTGGCTTAAGAGCAAAAACCGGGAGCCAGGCAACTCCGGGTTCTAGTTCTGCTTTCAAACCCTCCTTTGCCTCTTCATATCTGTGTGATCTTGGGCAACTTATTTAAACCCCCTGAATCTTAGTTTCCTTACCTGTAAGATGGCAGTAGTAATGTCCACCTCATTGTGGTAGTTACGTAGGTTTAATGAACTTAGGTACTGGAAATGTCAGCACAAGTGCTCAGTAAGTGAGAGCTGTGTGATCTGGAATGTGACCAGGATGGTGAGGTATCTGCAAATCATGTTCCATTAGAAATGGGTTAGGAGCTATTTATCCTTGAGATGAAAAGTAAGAGAGAGGAAATCAAGTTCGCAATCTCTAAAAAGTTGAAAGGATGTATTGGACATTCTTTTTATCCAAAAGAGGTGAACTTGTTCTGTGTTGCCAAAGGTAAGAACCAAACCTAAGGAGGTAGTCTCAGTAAGACAGAGTTCAGCTCAAAATGAGGAAAACTTTCTAGTGAATAGAACTGCCAACAATTGGATGGGCTCGTTGGGAGATAGCTCCCCATCATCAGAGGCATGCAGGTAGATTCTGAATGAGCGTCTGCT